TTAATTGATTTATAGCAGCCCTGAGTTCAGGCTGCCAAGGGACCTCTTTAAAAACTTTCCCTGTGGGGGTGGGCTCTGGAGAGCGGAAGAGGAGTTTGGAGGAGGCAGAGGGAAGTGAGAGCTGATAAGGAAAGAAATAGAGAAGCTGAAAAACAGAACGTCAATACTGCCAATAGATGGGAAGGTAAGGGGCTCTGACAGGGAGTGTTTGGGCTCCCTTCCTCAAGTGGCCTGAGAGCCCAGCTGGTAACTGAAGAGGACTGGTTACTCAGCCCAGTCTGACTAGGGTGTCTGTCCCAACACCTATTTAGCCAAGGGGCAGAATCTCAAAATGCTAGAAAGGGCAAGTGAGACTGCAGGGTTGTGGACAGGACACGTGTCTGGGACCCAGGAGTGGGTCTGACCCTGCTACAAATGTTAATGACCAGGGCTCGACAAATAATGCAATCTACTTGCCCGTGGCGAGTAGATTGCAACCCGGAAGAGCTGGGTTCGGGCGGGCTGGCGAGCCCTGTTAATGACTATTTCTATTCTAGGAAATGAGTAAATTTTGTTACTCGGTATACAGAGTAAGGTAAATACCTATTAAAATACTTTTTTTTAAAAATACTCAGGTATCCAAGCCCACCAATGGGATATGGATCAGCCCCTACCATGCCCACTGGAGAAGAAAATTCTGAATATGTTCGGACTCTCTATGATTTTCTTGGGAGTGATACTGAAGATCTGCCATTTAAAAAGGGTGAAATACTGGTAATTGTAGAGAAGCCTGAAGAACAGTGGTGGAGTGCCAGAAACAAGGATGGTCGAGTTGGGATGATCCCTGTTCCTTATGTAGAGAAGCTGGTCAGATTGTCTCCTCATGGGAACAGGAATTCCAACAGCTATGGTATTCCAGAACCTGCACATGCTTATGCTCAACCTCAGACCACAAGTCCCCTTCCCTCTGTATCCAGTACACCTGGAGCAGTGATCAATCCACTGCCATCAGCATGGAATGGACCTGTCTATGCCAAAGCTATTCAAAAAAGAGTACCGTGTGCTTATGACAAGACTGCCTTGGCATTAGAGGTAAGATTTTTCTGAAGTTCTAAGTCTCTAACATCTTCAGTAATTAGTCTTTTTTTTAATTAAAAAAAAAAGCACAACTTGATTGAAATGGTAGCAACCTGATTATGTAATTTATTTGAGCCATTCATGTAGGTGGTTGTCTTAAGTCAGTCAGGCAAAGTCCAATCTACTGAAGTGACTGAGAGAACAAGGTCTTTATTCATACCATAACAGCTCTACAAAAACAATTGCATCATCCATACCACTTCCCTTTAGAAAGGAACTAGCGCACGTACAAAGATGTACCTAATTCAGACTGTGACTACTCTTCCACAATAGGAATTTTTCTTCTTCCAGTGAACAGGAGCAAGCAATGGACATAGGTGTGAGTGCCCCTGGAGTGGTGCACACATGCCACACTATATAGGGGAGGGGGATAGCTCAGTGGTTTGGGCATTGGCCTGCTAAACCCAGGGTTGTGACTTCAATCCTTGAGGGGGCCATTTAGGGATCTGGGGCAAATCTGTCAGGGATGGTTATTGGTCTTGCCATGAGGGGAGGGGACTGGACTCCATGATCTCTCAAGGTCCCTTCCAGCTCTATTAATAATGGACACTCCTCGGACCCTCAGTTCCTTCTTACTGCTGGTGATGGTGCTTGGAACAGCCTGCTCCAGCTTTAGCTAAAGCTAGCATTCCCTATTGTTCGTAAATAGTTCTGTCATTAGTTACAGTGGTGGAAAAAGTACCCAAAATGTTACTTGAGTAAAAGTACTGCTACTTTGAAAAAAATGTAATGAAGTGTAAGTCAAAAGTACTCTTCCAGAAGGATACGAGAAAGTACAGAAGTATCACATCTTAATTGTACTCAAGTATCCAGAAATAAAAAGTAGGGGAGAGGAGGCAGGGAGGACCAAGTTTCAGGGTTTCCCACAAGCTTGATAACACTTTTGGGGTTAGATTTTTCAAAGCGCCACCCCACCCCTTGGGCTCTGGTGTGAGGTGAGGGTCCAGCCAAGGGGAGGGTGTAGGAGCGGGCTGAGGGTGGGGTGTCTAGAAGGGTGGGAGGGTGCAGGAGCAGACGGGGGCTGGGAGCCCTGAGGAGGAGGGGCAGTGCTTGAGAGGGATGGGGGTGCGGGGGGCTGGTCATGAGGGGAGGGCTCCCCACCCCTGTTTTTGAGTGAAAAGGTGTTGATGTGACTATTTAAAAAAAAAAAATAAATAAATAAAAAAATCTTCATTGGCAGGGTCATTGTGCTTGTTTATTGGCTATTTAAAAAAAATTGTCATTGCATGATTGGCTGCTTGTACATGCAGCCGTGCTTCAGCAAATCCAAATGCTGGCTTTCGCCACCGTCAGTGGGGGGGTGAAAGTAGTGGGTAACTAAACAATTTCCGGAA